GACGGGTGTTACTTTATTTCACAATAGACAGTTTCGCTTCCTTCGCCTTTTCTACGCAGACTAACTCGCAGTTGCACCACTAGCCTTTTTATATGCAATTATTGTTGCCATCTCGAGGTGATCGGAATACATTAGCTAGAACCAGAACTTTCTCGAACCAACGCGGTAATTCCAAATATTCAATTTCGCCTAATGCCACCTAGCGGGTAGCTGAAAAAGATAGTACATAGTACCACTACTCGCCACTAGATGTCGTTAAGTGTCACAACACAGATAGTACAGTAAAAAGATAGTACATAGTACCACTACTCGCCACTAGATGTCGTTAAGTGTCACAACACAGAATAATAATTGAAATGCAAAAAAAGCGCAAGTTTGCTTAGGTCACGCACTTTGCAACTATCTTAGTCTAGAAATATAGTTAAGGGCAGAAATTGGCCCTTGGAACAAACTGAAAAAATCATTATGGCCCGAAGACTTGAAAGTTTGGAGGCCCCTGGTGTAGAGTGACAGCAGCACCATTCTCCTCAAACTTAAATATAATGAAAAGATTATGAGAGATCAGAAATAATTTTCAAACAACCAATTATAATTTTAATAATGAAACGATTTCAGAATTTTTGCAACTGCTAATAATGATAATAATAATAATTATTATTCAACTGAACTACTTTTCAACGATAAAACTAAAATAAAATCATTCAAATCGAGAACACAGCTTTTTAACAATAAAGGTAAATGGGCTAACTTGAATCGAAAATACAATTTTACTGTACTATAATTTGGATCCGTATAGACGTGCGCTAGGTCGGTCTTCAACCGAGCAGTGCAATTAATAAAATGCGATGTTTTCAAAACGATCAATAGAGTACTGTTGAAGCACAAATTCGTCATATGCGAATATGTTTACGCTGAATAAATCAATTATGGTATAGCTCAAGTGAACGATATAGTGCAAACTACCTTCCGAAAGTTCCCCTTTGATTATATAGTCAGGGAGCTAACTAATTTCAATACTCTCTATGGAACGCCGTTTTACTTTTTATTGTCACAAATATTCATTCCTCAATTTATTCAACTAACAATGTATTTGTTTGAATTTAATTGATTCATGCATTTGTTCGACACATTAAAAATGGTTGTTTCCAAAATTTGTTCTATTTTAAATGACACTTGATTCAAAATGTTGCATGAATTAATTTGTTTGACGAAAAGTTGCGAACAGTTATAATATAGATTCATTGTTTGAAATTTTTGGAAGTAAATGTTTGTCATATATACTTTTTTGTAACTATCGAATAATTTACTACAATTTCTGTGAAACATGAATAAAATGGTTTGTTGATAATTATAGTTACATGAATTAAAACGATTGTTGATAATTTTAATTCGGCGCTAGCGTCGAACGGATTCTTGCAGAAGCTGAATTTTTAAATCTGGCAACATGATAGTTTAGTGATAGTAATACAATATTC